ATATATATATATATATATATATAGTTCCTGTTAGTCAACTGACTCATGGAAGTGAGTATATAGTTTTTAGGTTGTACACAATTGAAATTTATTTAGAGATAGACAATAAACTAAATCCATTAATAATTATTGGCTACCAACAATTGAACAAATACATTTTCATATAATATTTAATGTCTTGGAGAATTTGATAATGACCTTAATATGCTAAGAAACCTTTGCTGGTCTTTATTCTCTTTATTATTATTTAATATTTAAAATGGTAAAACAAAACAATCCTGAGATTGTTAGACTCATTAAGGTTTTGCAGCTATCTTAACTAGAAAATTGATAAATTTGATTATGAGAATAGTTATAAGCAAAACAAAGATGAGGCTTTCTGTTCCCATAAAGATTTACAGCCTCGAAACCCTATACAGGATCACTATGAGTCAGAACTGACTTGATAACATTTGACAACCAAAATAGGTATAAATTAGTAGTGTTTAGAAAAAAAATAATTAAATATTGGGGAGTAGTTTTCATTTCAATTGTATACGAACATTATGGGGACTCTAATGTTCTGTCTATTATTTTGTACATTATATATGATTACAACATTAAGAAAAGTAGTTAATTGTTGTCTTTTGTTGTGTGAGTATTATTTTTTCCCACAGGTATTTATTTATTTTTTAACCAGTAACATTTTATCTATTTATCTATCTATTTATCTATCTGTTTGCCTTCCTCTTCACCAAAGTTAATGTGTTGAGCCCTGATGTGGCACGCACTATAAGATAAGCACTGGAGTGCTAACCTAAAAGTTGGCAGTTTACACCCACTAGTTGCTCTTGGGAATCCTATATAGGGTCACTATGAGCTAGAACGGACTCAACAGGACACAACAATAACCCTCTAATTAGTGATTTAACCTACTTTACCCTCCCACTTTTGGTAACCATCAAATTGTTCATTTTAGTGTGAAAACCATTTCTTGACTTTTTATAATAGTGGGACATTATGCTGAGTGAAATTAATCAATCACAAAAGGCCAAATATTATATGTTGTCTTTCTTTTTGTAGGTGATAAGTTGGAGGAATTTCTTAGATCACTGAACAGCAGCAAGCCTCTCTACTTGGGACAGACTGGTCTGGGGAATATTGAAGAACTTGGAAAGCTGGGGCTAGAGCCTGGGGAGAACTTCTGTATGGGAGGACCTGGCATGATCTTCAGTAGAGAAGTTCTCAGGAGGATGGTACCACATATTGGTGAATGCCTTAGAGAAATGTACACGACTCATGAGGATGTAGAAGTGGGAAGATGTGTTCGTCGTTTTGGTGGAACTCAGTGTGTCTGGTCTTATGAGGTAAGCCTTGAACTGAGATGAAAATACTCTATATTACAGGTATGTGTCATTACATAGTCTGGGGCAGTGGTTTCATTTATAGTCACTGTGTCTTTATATTTGCTTGAAAATGATAGTAGTCAATTGCAGATCTAGGTGATGGTGGCAGACACCTTTCTTAGTAGATACAAGGTATATCTGAGCCTTTTTACTAGACTTTAGCAACATTTTAATCACATATATGATCACATCTCTAAAAGATGCTTTTTCCCTTTTTCATTGTTTTATTGGGCATCTCTTGGTTTTTTAAAAAACTTTTTGTAAATTTAATGAAGATTTATAGACAAGAGCATCAGTTTTACATTTAACGAATCATATACTTTGTTTAATCTCAGTGATTACAATCCCCCTTCATGCAACTATATTTATCTCATTTCATCACTGTGGTTCCTGTTTCCATTCCACCTACCTTCCCATCCCTTTTCAACTTTATCCTTAGGTAAATGTTGCTCTTTTGATTTTGAATGGTTGACCAGTCAGTCCATGGTGAGCATATTTTATAGTATTGTTGTCCTCACCATCTACTGCTTGGCTAAAGTTGGGCCATAGGGTGAATTCCTTTCTAGACATGAATGGTGGTTGAGGGCTATTGTTTCAGGTTCCTCCAGGTCCAGCAGCTAATTGCCTTAACATGTTTGATAATACCTAAGAAGTTTTCTTCCATTTGCCCACTGTATGCGTCACCACATTCGTAGAAATGTAAATACCCATGTACCAATATCTTCTTTTAAACCCTTACAAGTTTTTGAGGTATATATATATTTCCCAATCTTCCTTTTATACCCATTCAGCCTTTGTCTCCATCCCTGTATCTACATGCAGAACATTGTTATTCCAAGGTTGTGTATATAACACTATTTACCCTTTAACAATTGCATACCTTTCTGTTTTTTCATCATTCTTCTGCCAACCTCCCTCTTCTTATATATTTGGGCATCTGTTTCTTGTCTTTAAAAATAAATCTGCTTTTATTTTATTGAGCTGTAACTTTTGGTATTTGTTTTGCTTTTTTCTTTAAATCTTTTGTCCTTTTTGGTTGGGCGTGCAATTATATCTTTTTTGTTCTCAAATAGTTAACATTTAAATTTTCTTCGGAGATTGCCATGTGGAAAATTTGACGTATCTTTTTTTAAACCATAGGACAGGTGAACTTAAAATGTATCAATCACCTAGGATTGATTTTGTCACAGAAATTTAACTACTCTTTCAATGTCAGAACTTGCTGGGCATACAAAAAGAATGAGTTGTCTGGAGAAACTGTAGAAGTTTTGAAGGTGCTAAGTAAATGCTTAATCTTTTTACTGGTTACCTAGAGGTTGTTTATGCTTGCCCTTTGGCCATTTTCTGAGAAGGGATCATTATTTAAATCAATCATCCAAGTTATGAACTGTTATTATTTTACAGTAATTTGTTATATGAGAAACTCTGAGATTTTTTTTTCCTTTAAAAGAAAAATTGGTTTTGAAAAGAAATGTAATTTTATTTAAAAGTTTCTCTAAAAGATACACTTCGTAAAAATTAGTCACTTAAGTAGTATATTTTAGTATAATCTAATTTTGAAGTAGTTAGAATTTAACACTAGTTAGCTATTCTCTTAGTTATCTAGTGCTGCTATAGCAGAAATATCACAAGTGTGTGACTTCAACATGCAGAAAGTTTATGTTCTCAATGTTGAAGAGGTTAGAAGCCCAAATTCAGAGTGTTGGTTCTGAGGGAAGGCTCTCTCTGTTGGTTCTGGAGGAAAATCTTTGTCTCTCTTGAGTTTCTGCTCCTAGACAATCTTCGTGTGACTTGACATCTGTTTTCCCCTCTTTTCTTAACTTGCTTGCTTATATAATCTGTTATGTCTCAAAAGAGATTAACGCAAGATTGTTATTGTTAGATGCTGTTGAGTCTGCATTGACTCATAGAGATCTTATGCACAACAGAACAAAACACTGCCCAGTCTTGTGCCCACCTCACAATTGTTACATTTGAGCCCATTGCTGCTGCTACTGTGCCAATCCACGTCATTGTGGTCTTCCTCTTTTTCACTGACCCTCAGCTTTACTAAGTATGATGTCCTTCTCCAGGGACTGGTCCCTCCTGATAACATTATCTAAAATATGAGAAACGAAGTCTGGTCATCCTGGCTTCTAAGGAACATTCTGGTTGTACTTCTTCCAACAGATTTGTTTGTTATTTTGGCAGTTCATGGTGCTTTTAATACATCTACAGTAAAAAAAACAAAAACCCTACACTAATCTTTCCTTATTAACATAACAAAGACAGACCATTCCCAGTATGGTAGCCATACTTTTGAGGAACAAAATTCTCTCCATAACAGTTATACAGTGCATAGTTTTGCAAACTATGCCTTCACTCATTTGCTCATCTTTCCCGTTTTTTCATGTCACTTACTACAGAAAAAGTGTATTGTGAAAATTTGTTCCCTGTAAAATCATTACACTCAAGATTACAAGGTCCATTCATTTTTCTCTTAGAAGTATGAATGGGCTTCAAAAACTTTATTGAAAAATGGGATTAAAAGATAATTGAACTTTTCCATAAACTTTTTGAAGCCCCTCGTATTAGCTTTATTTTCTTTTGCAAATTACTTTTCTGAACCTATTTCATTCAATTGCAAGCAGATATTATAATAATGTCTGTTTTGTAGATATGGGGGAAGATTGAATAAATAATCCATGTAAATCCTTTAATATAGTATCTTGTACTTAGTAAATTTCCAATAAATGTTACCTCAGCAGTTCAAGCTCACCAGTCACTCCTCAGA